TCTCTCTCTCTCTCTCTCTCTCTCTCTCTCTCTCTCTCTCTCTCTCTCTCTCTCTCTCTCTTTCTTTTTTTTGGAAGCAGGAAACTTGTATTATCAACCAGTAATATTTGGGCACATGGAAGCATAACCTAATTTTTCCTTGTGGGAGAGATGAGTTAGAAGTTTTCCTTGTTGAAAATGAAATGCACTCCTCGAGGGCCAGAGTCGGAGTTGGAGATGCTTTGCTTATTGAGGGTTTCGGCCAAGGCTTCAGGTCCGCAGAGGAAAACTCCTATTCTGGTACTTTGGGAATAGAAGCAAAAAAGATTTTCAGGCTCTTCGATGAGACAGAATACAGACCAGGAGGAGACTTTCCTATTGATCTGAGGTCCTAGTGCTGAGTGCCCTTTGTTCTTCTGCCTTTTACACAAATGGAAAGTTTAGGTTACTTTGCAAGAAGGTGGTCAACCCTGATTATGGGAGAGCTGCATAATTTAAAAGATAGTTGAATTCCCTGGAAAATGAATTACATACATATTTTAGCAAACTTCTACCACAGAAAAATTGTTGAGTAGAAGCCTGTAGGGCTAATTCTTCTCTGGACTGTGTGTCTCCAAATCCTTTCTGGCATCATAAACTCAAGAACAAAACCTCCGTAGCCACTCTAACTGTGGCCACAGCATGGTGTGGCTTCATCCCTCTAAATCTCAGAGTTGAAATTCCAGCTTTTCAAGGTGTAACTCCAGACTGTTAGTCTAAATAATAGTTCTTTAAGAATGCAGATTCTGCATCCTGCAGAATCAAAATCTGCATTTTATTTTATTTTAGGGAAGGGTCTACAGGGTGTTCAGGGTCTCACTACTAGATCAGACTCGTAGTGATCCACCTGTTTACAGCCTCCCAAGAGCTGAGATTACAGGCATGTGCCACCACACCCAGTCTCAATTGCAGTCTCAGCGTGCCCTGGGGGCAGGGCTGGCATGCAGGCACGGGGATTGAACCCCCAGCCCCTGTGCCTGCTTTTTATTTTTTAATTTTTTTCTATAATTGTATGGAGAGACAAATAGCAATGAGACAGTTTCAAATCAAATTGGTAGGACCGTTTCAATAATTAACACATTGCATACTCTCTTCCTAGTGGTTATTTGCTGTACAAGATGCAGACAGGATATCTTATCTACAAACACTATTAGATCAAATCCCTCTATTCATTAAGAGAATGTAACTATCTATCCTAACCATTTTGAATGCACAGATACAGAATAGACATTCATCTGTATCCCCTTTTTTGTTTAGTTCTGTCATTTGAATATTATAGGTGTGTTAACTCAGCAAAATATTCTAAAAGAGTCCAGTAGTCCATAATAGTATTGGGTCTTTGGCTTGACTGGCAGTGTCTGAAATTGTTGAATTGAGTCCCCTGCAGCTCAACATAACACCATGGCTTTACTTCTTATACTTTGTTTTTATACTTTTCTGCTGGATGGTTAAGACCAAGATAAAGCAAGACCTATGCACCAAAAGTTGTAGCTTTTGGATCTGATAAGGTCAGTGAAATCCCCTCAGGATTTTTCCTGAGATCCTATACCTCAGATTGTAGATCCTTTGTCAGTGTCAGCCATGTGGATGAATCAGTATAGCCAAATGACATGTCCCCTCCACAGTTTAAGAAAAAATGGTCTGAAAGTCATATTTAGAGTGAATTCGAGTTTCTCATGAGTTCTAGCAAGATAGGGTATCCCTCAAAACTTTCATGATGTCTGAAGTTTTAGGAGAGCAGAAAGGATTTAGGGACATCTGTGAACTCATGGTTTTAGACTCAAAAGCTAAAACTGAAATGGAGGGTGGCCTCTCCTTACTATTAAGGATATGTCATATTGAATATTTAAAAGAAATAGATCACATTAGTAAAATTTGGCAACTAAAGAAAAGAACCAAGCTGTGGTTCAACTTGGAATAAGGGACTGGGAAATCTGAGGTGGGAACCTGGGAATTTTTGCTTTTAATAATTCTTCAGATATTTTTGCTGTGATTTTACAGTCAGAGGTATCTGAAATCTTCCATAGAAAAAGAATTCAATTCTAGTATAGCAATGTGGTTATACTAATTTCTGGGATTTACAAGTCTTGCCATGCTTTGGAGCTGATGCTTCAGGCAAATTACAGCCTTAAAAATTCCTAAGTTGGGGAGGGAGGTTGCTTCTTACTTAGGGTGTTGACTTGCAATTGTCTTGAACTCATTATCCCAATTGGGACGTCCATACAAAGTCTTTTGCTTCAGGCCTGTGATCACGTCTTTCTCCTCATCATGGTGAACAGCAAAGTGATTGGCCTGTAAGAGAGGATATGAAATCAGAAATAGAGACATAGCATAAAATATGGACTGATATATTTACACATTTAACAAAAGAAGTTATTAACTGTTCTATCTATCTGGTCACAGTATTTGAGTTGGCCACTGAAATGTGGTTAGTATCTCACTACTTTTTTGCTCTGATAGACTTCTCCAACTCTTTTGAGAGAGTCACTGAGAATGCAAATAATCATAGACTAAAGTGAATTCATATTTTGGTAACTTGAGGCGTCAAATAAAACTTAAAGTTGTATATGTCTATACACATACTGTTCTTGTGCTACCATTCTAGGGGGCTGCAGTTTGAACAATAGGTACTTTTCATAAAGTTATAATTAAGTGTATCATATTTATTTGTTTATTTATGTATTTATTTATTTTTGGCGGAACAGGGCATTGAACTCAGACCCTTGCCCTTACCAGGGAAGCACTTATTCTACTAAGCTATCTCCCCAGCCCCTGTTTATTTATTTATTTATTTATTTATTTATTTATTGGAGACAATCTCACACATGGTGCAGGCTGACCTTGACCTTGCTTCTGTAGTGCAGCCTGGTCACAAACTCATGTTGCTGCTCCTGGCTCTACCTGAAGAGTTATGGGATTATAGGTGTGTGCCACTACATCTGACAAATTAAATGTATTCTAAAACAACGTTTTAAATTTACTAGACAGGGGATGGGTGATAGGGATGGAGAAAGTGGAGAAACCTGGTCACATTCATTGAAAAATGCCATAGGAGATGAGGCAAAGGACAAGTGAAAGAAGGGAAAAAGATATATTCAGGTATATATGCAGAAGAGTTTGGATAATTGCATTGTCAGTTTCTGCTGCTCTTTTGAAAGTAGTTAATGCTTAATTTTTTTCTTTTTACTTTGATTTTTGTTTCCTCTTTTGAATTTCTTATAACTTATCTGTTATTGGTTTTTTTCCCTTTAAACAAATTTTACACATTTATATCTGGCAATCTGAGCAGCTAATTTGAAGATGGCATCATGTAATATAGCAACCATTGTTGAACTCCTATTACTTTGTTTAGTGAGATCTTATATCATTTTAAAGCTGTTTTTTCTATCACTATTTTGTATTCTTTAAAAATAAAAACAATTAAAAAGAATAATCCGAGTCCTAGCCCAGGTCCGGTGAGTGTGCGGAGAGTTTCCTGCTACCCTGCGCCGGCGGGACCAGTCCCAGCCCAGGCGCAGCGTGGGCCGGACCC